TCTTCCCCATTCTGATGCTCTGTCTGATCTAAGGAAGGTCATCTTGACCATGTCCATACATTAATGAGTGTTTGAACAGGTATACCAAAATAAGTGGCCCCATGGTGTGGAGGTTTACACATTCGCTTAGCAAGCAATTCTCCTTTTGAATTGCGTCAGAAAGGAGATCCAACATAAAACTTTGCCAACTTTGCATGTGCAGCAACTTGCTGTGGTGACCCCTTGTCATTAAGGAGCAGCTTATCAAAGTAGCTTGATAAACTGCTATGCACAAGGTAGCATTATCCTCTGTTTCTCTGTTCTGACTCACACGTTTCATTTACGTTATATTTCCTCTAACTTTGAACAATAACAGCATCTGTCAGTTTACTAGCTTAAGCTATTACTGTAACCGCTACAAATAGCAACCTCTTTACAAATGACAGATATGGTTAGTTTAGACCCCCCTCCCCCATTTACATACACAATCAATTACAGTTAAAATGATATCTAAACATACAACAATAACTGAACCCTTTAATCACAATCATGCTGATGTTCAGCATCCGGAGTGTGAAAATCTAAATTAAGAACTTCCTGTCAATTTTTTTTGAAAGATATTAGTTTTGTTAGTCAAATTATTGGGGACAACTACAGACAACCTAACTGGATGCCTCAGTCTCACATCAGTAATATTTCGCTCAACTGAGACCTTACTTCACATCTTATCAGCTGCATCGCTTGCTTTGTCTCTAAAGAGGATAAATCCATTGCAAGTAAACTTTCCATCGACTTTTCAGCCGATTTCCCTCCACATGTAACCCAGAAGCCCAAAATATAAAATGCAGAGCTGAGGCTCAGAGACCACAAATCTTTCAACAAGCCATTAAATGCACCAGAGTCTCAGAGAGGAAGTAAAAAAAAAAACCCCAGAAAACCCCCCAGAACCCACATAAAAAACCTTTTATGTTAAAGAAGTCACTTTTACAGTGATAATTAAAGAGTGTGTGTCGATGTATTCTTTGTCACGCTTGTGTGTGAAGGTCACCTTCAGAAAGACGTTGGTAAGTTTAGCTCCGATGCAGCTCCTGGGCCCGTTGCCAAAGGAACACAGGAAGTGCTCATGGCCTTCGTTCCTGCATATGCAAAACACAAGAGCTACAATTAAATTTTGCATAGGGTAGACAAATCAGAGATGCAAAAATCAATCAATAATCTATCTTGAACAGACTTCACAAACGTCAATCAAAAGGTATATCTTGAAAAAATGATTTTAAAAAAAGATGCACGTTATGCAAACTTATCCCAAATGGTATTTGAGGTTGTTTAAAAAAAATAGCTATTTAAAGTTGTGTTTCATCCATGAGAAATTCACAGCATGGCATATGACCATATTTAAAGCTGATATAGACCAACCAGAGATGTATCTTGTAGATTTTTTTGTCAATACAAAGTATTTTTTAAGTTAGTTGTTCAACAACAAAAAGGGCACTAAGAGAAAGCAGGTCTCCCACCAAAGCCAATTCTCTCATCTCTCACTTTTAAAGACAATGAACTGCAGCTTCTCTGTGGGCTCTTCTTTTGCCCACACTCCACCTCTGCACCAAGTTTTATGGCTTTGTAGTTGTTCGTCTATCTGATAAAAATGCTGACAAATGGCACCAATCGCTTGCCTCCATCTCAGCTCTTGGCTGGGTGAAGAAAAAATGTGTACAAAGAATAAGGAGAGCATTGCTGCACGGTGATGCTCATCATCAAAAACTCTACAATGCATCATATAAAACACCCAGAATTCTCGATCAATCCAGCTGACCCCTCTCTCTTTGGCACAAAAGACAAATAAATTAGACCTCAAAGGAAACCAACCAAGAGTGCAGCTTAGAATGAAGTTCCACAAGACAAATGAACAAAAATCAGGGACCCAACTTTACTTCATCATGCCTGCTTTCTAATATTTCTTAAAAATATACTTAAGAAAGCAGGTCCTTTCCAACCATTACTCAATATCCATCTGATGCAGGCCGTGTCTTGCCTCTAATGGATCCTGTCTTCCTGAAACCTGAGCTCTGATTAAAAGCAAACAGGAAGCATTAGTGGTGCGTATAGTCTGGGTCCACTGTGTCAGATGGTTTGTGTGTGTGAGAAGTGTTATTATTAGTGTTCTCGCTAGCATCTGACTAATGGTTTAATGTACTATTAGGTACATCCTGAAACAGTAAGATGTGCGGCGTACACTATAGGAAGGGAAAGGAAGTCTTACCAAGCACTCCATCGTAATGCTATATCAAATATGTTGAGTGGATAGGAAGTGAATCAGAGCAGTATACTCTTGTGTGAAGTATAATTCATTTTTCTGCAATAAAGTATAATGAGAAAGCTCTGTGAGAGATCATGACTGAGGCCAAGAGGGCATCATCAGATTAATTATTAGATAGGGAAGACAGGGAAGAGGACGAACAAATAGCTGCAGATCACTTAAAAACTCTCATCATTTATTTTCATTTGCATCTTGTTGCATTTAAAGTTCAATGGCAAAAAAAACCCCTACATCAAAGTTGCACTCACCAGTCACTTCATTAGGTACACCTGTTCAACTGCTTATTAACACAAATATTAACAGCATTAATGACCTGCTGAAGTTCTAAGTGAGAATCAGAATGAGGAAGAAAGGTGATTTAAGTGACTTAGAAGGTAGGATGGTCGTCGGCACCAGATGGGCTGGTCTGAGGATTTCAGAAACTCATGATCTACTGGGATTTTCCCACATAACCATCTCTAGGGTTTACAGAGAATGGACCAGAAATGAAAATATCCAATCCAAGAAGGCAGAGCAATGGTTCTCTGCCTTGTTGATGCCAGAGGTCAGAGGAGAATGGCCAGACTGGTTTGAGCTGACAGGGAGGCAACAGTAACCTTGCAACAGCAGAATAAGACCATGACAGATGCTACTTCTGTTGGCTAAGAACAGTAAACATAGGCTACAGTTCACGCAAGCTCACCAAAACTGGACAACAGAAGACTGTAAACAGCAACAGTTCGGGCTGGTGGTGTGGGGAATATTTTTTAGCACACTTTGCGCACCTCAGTACTAACTGAGCATTGTTTAATGTCCATCCCTTTATGACCAACACACCCATCTTCTGATGGCTGTTTCCAGCTTGATAACATGACAATGCAATTACTGTACTCAAATGGCTTCCAACACATCTCAATCCAATAGAGAACCTTTGGGATGTGGTGGAACGGGAGGGTCACATCATGGATGTGCAGCTGACAAATCTGCAGCAACTGTGTAAAACTATCATGTCAACATGGACCAAAATCTCTGAGGAATGTTTCCAGCACCTTGTTGTATCTACGCCATGAAGAATTAAAGCAGCTCTGAAAGCAAAAGTGGTCCAACACAGTACTAGCAAGGTGCATCTAAGAAAGTGAAGTGTGAGTTTATAGCCTAGCTCACGTGCCAAACTTGAGGCTTAGGAACACTAGTGCACAAACTAATGGGCAGCATCTTGAATTCTATGTGTCATTTATACGCAGTCTATTATTTTAAAACGTAAAGCCTATTATCAAAACTGTTATACTTAGTTCAACTAGACTATGACAAACTCCTGGCATTATCTTTATGAACTGGTGACTCTGGTTTGTGTCGTTTCTAAGAATTCATGCAGTAGCTGACGTACGCAAACACAGACATTTCAGATAATTTCTACTTCAAATTAAAAAAAAGATGTCTCTCACTATTTTTGGAGACAAGTAGAAAAGTCCCTATTCTCGGATTTATGTGAAACTAGCAGCACAGCCCACTGCAATAGCTAAGATTTTTATCTGTGCTTGGTAGCATTTCTGATTCACTTATCTAGGGCCAGAGTCTGTGTGGGCGTTGAGCTGATAGGATGTTAACTTGCCAGCTCCAATATTTGCCTCCAACAGGAAAAGCACACATACACAATATACGACGAGTATGAACGGGAACACACACAGTAGATAATACACCCAGCTACTGCGCAAAAAAATAAAAAATAAACAGATGAAACTGTGGTGATTGTAGGTGGGCTTGTTATGTAACAGGACTGCAGTCATTAAATTAAACAGCCAGGTGGCAAGAAAATGAGCTGGGCAACTATCAAGAGAGACAGGAAACCGGTCACCAGGAAGACTGGCAGATGGAAAACCAGAGACAGGAACAGTTGGGAGGAAAGGGAAACAAACACGGTGATAAATGAAAAATAAAGACAAGCAAAGACAGGCAGCAGAGGTTTGCACGGCAAGGATGAAAGATATATCAGCTTTGGTCGCACAGATCGCTTCTCAGGGTTCAATAAAATTTACTGACAGTAAGAAACATCAAAAAGATGACCAGAATCATCCATACAAATATACACATCTTCTTAATGTGGATGACTCACACCTTTACTGAGGTATAGTCAAACTTCTAGCGCCTACACTCCACGTTTCATCTTTGTCTTTTGTGTTTTTTTTGTGCAGTTTCTTATTAATGACTTTTCTAGAGTTTTCTTTTACATCAGACTATCTCAAGGAAAATCTCCTCTGACTCACTCCTTAACCCTGCACCATCTTACCTGATGCTCACACACGCAGACACAAAGCATGCCATCTATTCATTCATAGATTTCTCTTCTCAGCTGAGTGCTCTGTTCACACACTTCAGAGTATTTAAAATGGTGTCCATTTCCAGGCTAAAAGTATCTGCCTGTTAGGCAGACTGAACAGATTTTTGACTCTTTTTTTTTTTTGCGCTATAAGTATCTAGGTGGACCTACGTCTTAAGTTATTAAGCTGTTTTAGGATAATTT